AAATTTCATGATCTTTTAGAAAAGTCTTTTGTAGACTTTTCTTCAGGTTTTCTGTTCTGAAAGAGTTGAAATAAAATTATTTTAAATGAGCTCATGATTAATTATAAAAGTATTCTTCCTATAGGTTGAATCATAACCACAATCTTGTTCAGATATAAACACACACACATGCATTTCTGTGCACATGTGTGCTTGCAAGTGCACGTAAACATACACCCACATGATGCTGGCTAACATCTGTAGCTAGGAAAAATCATTGAACAAGTTACCAAACAATGTTTAAGCTAGTCACGTCCCTTAGGTAATTGTTGAAGAAGCCTCTATTTCTTGATTTGGTACCCTTGTATCTCATTGCTGAAAATGTTGACTAAAATGTGATTTCTGATGCAAAATATACTCTAATTGATGAGGGAAAAGAGAGAGGGAGAGAAGTGAGGGGGGAGAAATGGAATTCACCACTGGCTTGTGCATCTAAAATATTTAAAAATCAAGTATAAGAAACATCTCATAGCAAGTAGGAAAGGATGCCTCCTTAAATTTTGACATTCAAATTCCAAAGACTGAAGGTTAGAACGAGCTGTCCTAGGATTGTGGTGAATAAAAAGGACAGTGCTGAAGAAATTGGAGTTGCACAAAAAGAAAATCATGGACTCTGGACACTTAGATGAGTTAGAGTGGGAGGGAGGAGACTGTGAGTCATTACTCTGCAATGGACACAACAATATAGATGTGGCATCTCGCAGACTCCACACACGCGACTGGAGCTGACATAGGGCAAAGTAGACCAGTAGCTCATTTCTGATATTTTAGTAATTTTAGTTGTACCCCTAATTTTCTTTCCTTAGTTCCTGGTACATTTTGGAGATACATACATCAGTTGGCTAGAGTTGAAATTTCCAGATAAAAACAGTTCACAATTACTTTATTTCTTAATATCTATGTGCTATGTTATAATAAAGATCACATACTGTTTATTTTTGTAGTCATGAAAATGCATAATTCTTGGTAGAGTGCTATAGTTTAAATTTTACCTTATGTTCACTGGATGTGGGGGATATATTTACTCAGTTAAGTCACTGTACAGAGATGAATATGATATTCTTCCTGTAGGACAGACTTACAAGGAGAGGTCAGAGAGGTTTCAAAAATAATGGTAATTATTTATAACCTGAGCAACTCCCTTCTCTTCTTCATTCATGTGACAAATATTTACTGAGTACCTACTATGTGTCAGACACCAGTTCTAGGCTTTTGGGAAATGTCTATGACCAAATAAAGATCTGTTACCTCACAGAGCTTACATTTTAGGGAGAGGAATTTAGATAGTAAGCAATATAATATTAAGTAAGTAAATGATATATTAAGTGATAAGTTCTATGGAAAAAATAAAAACTAGAACAGGGTTGACAGAACAGGAAAACTGGACTTTGGGACAGAATTGCAATTTTAAATAAGGTAGTCAGCCCCATTGAGAAGGCTCCCAAGAGGGAAATGACTTGTTTGAGGTCCCTTGGCTAGTTGGGGAGTAAAAGAGTAGGATTTGATCCCAGGGCTGACTTGAATGTCCATGCTCTTTTTCTGAAGGGATAGATGACTCCAGAGTGACAGGATTTCTCAGGAAGGACATGACCTACTTTAGTCACCCTTCATTCAATGAGGCAAAGGGTGGGTGGACAAGGAGCAGGAGGAAAGTATCTAAAGAAATCTAGGTAACTGGCTGGAAGGTTTGGGCTGAGCATAGCTTTTAAAATAACATGTTCAAAAGCTGGAAGGAGAACACATAACTAAGGGAAAATACAAAAAAATAGTGAATCTATAGTATTAATGTCTTAGAAGAGAAGCATCTAGATACATCTTTCAGAGCTATTAACTCTTCCCCCAAAGCATACTTTTAGAGACTGGATTACTTAGAGCTACAGACAAGTACAAGGTACTTCTTGAGGGATTTCTTTTAGATTGAGATTTAAAAGGCTGAGACACAAATAGATTTTTGTTGATCAGGTCATATAAAAGCTGTAGTTTCAGTTAAACTTTCCCATTTTTTGGTTTAAAAATTTTCAGGAAAGAATGTTGTAAATAATTAATCTTTCATACAATTATCACCCAAAGACTCCTGCATTTCAGAGGAAAGAGTGTTTTTGAGAGGTAAGAGATGATTTCTACTGAGGAATTTGTTTCACCAATAAAGGGCCTTTCATAGAACTTTTTTGTTTGTGAGTTCTAGAATTAAATTTATGTTATGATCACAATCTGGGTAAACTTAGTCAAGTGAATGATTTCTAGACAGAAAAAAGAAATGCAGAAGTCATGGAATGGATTCTGAAGGAGAAGCTGATTGCTTAAAAACTGTTACCCCTTATTACTTCAAATCAGAGAAAAATGAATGTTAGATATACCTTCCTCATTTCATTCACAATGACTAAGGCTTCAATAGGTTAATTGATTTGGTGATAGGTAATTATTTGCAGAGCTGATTCCTTAGCCAGTGCTTATTCTAGTTCAACAGAATAAGAGTCCCAGAATCCCTAGAGTCCCAGCATATGTATATTTAATTTGTATAAATTTTAACTATTTCATGTGGCAAAAAGGTGAAAAAAACTGTGAAATTTTATTTTCATATATATTCTTTATCATATACTGTCCATTATCACATGTATAAAATATTCACAGATCCATGTTATTATATAGGGTTGTATACATAACATCACATACAGTTGGCCCTCCATTTCTGCTGGTTCTACATCCATGGATTCAACCAGCAGCGGATCCAAAATGTTTTTTTAAAATTCAATAAAAATAACTATAACAATAAGAAATAATACATATAAAAAGTACAGTATAACAACTGTTTACATAGCATTTATATTTTATTAGGCATTATAAGTAATCAGGAGATGATTTAAAGGGCTGATACTTCCCAACTTGGGATGGGTTTAACTGGATGTAACCTATCGTAAGTCGAGGAGTGTACTGAATGCATATTGCTTTCACACCACCATAAAGTTGAGAAATTATAGGGACCCTCTGTATTCAGGAGGATGTTCATAGATTGTATGCAAATACTATACTATTTTTATAAGGGACTTGAGCATCCTGGGATTTTGGTTTCCACAGATGGGGGGTAGTCCTGGAACCAATCCCCTCAGATACTGAGGGACAACTGTGTACTATACTTTAAGGGTAATTTAAGAGATTTCCTGGGGTAATTTTGGCTACAAATGATTTTCATGCCATATAGAAATTGAAAACTTTATCGCCTCCTAATAAAACACAACTGCTTGTGTTCCATGTTTTGTCTTTCATTATAATACAAGTCAAATCATGTCCCCTAAGCATGAATTCATAGTGTAAGCCAGATATGACTCAGTTTAAATGCAAGTATTATTTTTGTCATAAACACCATCAAAGTAAAAGGATTCCATTATATTTATTTGTAGAATAGGGTTATGCCAATGTTGAAATTCAGCGGGGAAGAAGGAGACTGCTGAGCTGACTCACCTTTGAGCGGTTTTAATTCTCACTTTAATCAGTCATCAAAAACTCTGCAAGTGTCTGGCACAGGGTTTCTCTGGCCAGGTGCTTATCATTCCAGGGTAGCTCTCCTCCCAGTTCTGCTCTTCACTTCACCTCACTGTCTTTTCCCTCACTTATTTCTAGCTCCTCTTCCATACCACACCTATATGTGGATGTACAATCAGGTTTAGTGGAACAGCCATTTCTGGTCTTCTTCTCAAGACCTGATTTAGACCTACTAGGATAACCGCACAACCTCAAGTCCATGCTTTTCATGCCCTAAAGCAGGCGTCCTCAAACTACGGCCCGCGGGCCACATGCGCGTGTTTTTGCCCGTTTGTTTTTTTACTTCGAAATAAGATATGTGCAGTGTGCATAGGAATTTGTTCATAGTTTTTTAAAAACTATAGTCCAGCCCTCCAACGGTCTGAGGGACAGTGAACTGCCCCCCTGTTTAAAAAGTTTGAGGACCCTTGCGATAAAGAGTAGCAAAAATATAGTCTCTTAGAATCATAGTCTGTTAGAACTTTGAGATACTTTACGGGTCCACTGGCCCAAATGCCTGATTTTAAACATTTCAAAGTGAGACCTGAAGCGTTTTCTCAAGGTTGTATAGCTTTAGTGACAGAGAGAGTTTTCCTGACTACTCCTTAAGCCGTTTAAGGAGAAGTTTAAATAAAGAAATATTGTAGATAGATGAGAGGCACAAAGAGGGAACCTCTGATTTTCGATGAAACAATATTCTTTAAAACTTGGGTCTTCAGTCCTGGACATCATATAACCTGTACTTGCTTCTTCCAGCCCCCAAAGAAAAAGTTATGCTAATAAAACACTTGTGGATTTAGGAGAACACATTGTGGAAACCAGTCAGTAGCTAACTGTATGGCTGAACCTGATAATGTACTTGACAAGGGGACAGAAGGTGAAGGAGATGCTTTAAGAGATCCTCTGGGCTACTCTGGATGGACAGGTTTCTGTATTCGTCATGGGAAACAGCAAGGGCTTTCTCAGGCTGGGTGCTCAACTGGACATAAAGCCAGGCCAAAGCCACAGTGGGGAGACCTACCTTATCTCTTAAAGTGTGGTGATTGTGGAGGGCTATTTTCTCATCTGAATGTGAAAATGAAGCTCTTTTTAAGACAAAAGAACTTGTAGATTCAACAATTGCGAAACAGTTGTAATGGGATTTTTAAAGACAAAAAAGGGGGGGACAAGGGCTGATTTTTCATGGTTACTAAGTATTTCTACTTTGGTTATTGTTATTGCTAAATTGATCATTGGGGATGAGTAGAAAGGGGTTAGGATGGCTATGGGCATTAAAATTATTCTGGAAGGGATTCATGGAGGAGATGAGTATGAAACAATTTTTAAGGAGAAATGAGAAGTAGCCTTTGGGATACCTTGAGTTCATATTTCTGGCAAATAAGTTGGAATCTAGAAAGACTCTCACTTATAAATTATAGCCTAATCTGGTTCATTGTTCTAAGGTTATCGATATTCTGTGGAGTGATCCAAAAGGCAAAAGTGGCTGTTACCCAAACACATGTCGAGGAGGGGGCTGCTATTTTGGACCAGATATTACCTCCAAGATTCTTAGTAAATACCAGTTGAAGATGCTCATTAGATCTCATGAATGTAAGCCCGAAGGGTATGAAATCAGCCATGATGGGAAGGTAAGCTAATGTTGTTGGCAATGTTCTCCTAAACACCCTTCCCCCAAGCACAGTCTTTTCTTCACAGTGTGTGTCTGACCTAGAAGCCCATGACAAGATGTCTTTCCTAGTACCAAACAGAAACAAGACAAAGCAGGGTTCACCTGGGTAGTTTGAAGGGGCCTCACTGTCCTTCACCTTAAGAGATATTTGGTTTATTTCCCTGATCTTCCTTAATTCCAGGAACAGAAATTCTGACACATGGCACTAAGTATGCACCCATAAAGGATTTGTTCTTTGCTAATTGTAAGGCAACTGTCCCAGCCAGTGGGGTTAAGAATGTATTTTTCGGCCGGGCGCGGTGGCTCACGCCTGTAATCCTAGCACTTTGGGAGGCCAAGGCGGGCGGATTGCTCAAGGTCAGGAGTTCGAAACCAGCCTGAGCGAGACCCCGTCTCTACCAAAAATAGAAAGAAATTAATTGACCAACTAAAAATATATATACAAAAAATTAGCCGGGCATGGTGGCGCATGCCTGTAGTCCCAGCTACTCGGGAGGCTGGGGCAGTAGGATCGCTGAGCCCCGGAGATTGAGGTTGCTGTGAGCCAGGCTGACGCCACGGCACTCACTCTAGCCTGGACAACAAAGTGAGACTCTGTCTCAAAAAAAAAGAATGTACTTTTCCTCACAGAGCACATAAAAGGCAGCAATGAATCCAGTTTGCTCTCTTTCATCTTTTGCATGTTTCCTATGCAGGGCTGAAAACAAAAGACACACTTCCCTGTAACACCCTGAGCGGGTGATCTCCAGCAAGTTGCTCACTATAGTCAGTGTAGCTGCAGCCACTAAAATGGAGTGTGTTGTGTTCCTCCAGTAGTGGTATCTAATAAGGCTAGAAGAGGTGAGGCCTGAGGAACTGGTTTCTTGTCCCAAGTTGTCCTGTGATACCCCTTTTTCTATAGTGAACAGCGGTAGATAAAAATGAATACCAAATTGTGAGGCATTTCCTTGTGTCAGTACTTTTCTTAACTCTATTAATTCATTTTTGGCTCATAATAACACTGTGAAATGAGTAAGGCAAGTATTATTTAGGGTTTCTTTGTAAAAAGAAAATAGACAACAGTGGTGGCTTGTCTAAAATGACACGCTCATTAGGACAGAACTGGGTCTAAGCCAGATTCCTTGTCACCGACAAATATTGTCCTGCCATATTCCACCATAGCCCCAAGGCTGGTCCTTTCCCAAGATAATGGCCATGGTCCTGTATTCTCTGCCCTTAAAGTAATGGTTTTATGAGGCCCTACACCTGTAGATCACTCAGCTCCAAGCAAAAGACTGAGATATTAGACAAGTTTTACTTTGAATGCTCAAATATCACAAAGCAAGAAAATAAGGGATTTTCCCCTTGGAAAATTAGAATTTGCAAAACCAAACCAAAGAGGATTCTGAGAATCAGCACTAAAATTGTATACAGGATTGTAGGGCCATGCACTGGGGGGATATTGGGTGAGTGGCTAGGAGGTGGTAGTACTGGGGAAACTGAGTAAAAAGACTTGTTTCCCTCTGATGGAATTATAGGAAGTCACATCAGAATTGGATAATTTGCAGGAATTATGAATTTTAATTTTTGCTTTTTAAGAATTGAGCTATTTCTGACTTTGTTGAATAACCTTTTGAGAACTAATTTTACATGAACCTGTCCCTCTTTTTCTTTAATTAGGTCATCACTGTATTTTCTGCTTCCAATTATTACGAACAAGGCAGCAATCGAGGAGCTTACCTCAAACTGTGTTCCGGTATGTCTCCTCGATTTTTCCGGTACCAAGCAACTTGGGAAACAACCCTGAAACCTCTTTACCAAAGGTGTGTATGCTCTAAGGAGAATTCTGAGCACTGGTATTGGGGACCAAATAGAACATCCCAAGTGACTAAGAGCAGCCTCAAAAGTGAAGACAGCCACTTATTAGTTACTCATTGGTATAAACAAAATGGAAATAGTTTCAGACACCAAGTGGTATTAACGCACCCATATTTGAAACCAAAAGAGCAACTTTCAATTCATACATCTTTTTAGATGGATAAAACAATCAGTACCTACAAATGTAACTGAATGTAAAGGAAAGAAGATCCCCACACCCACTCAGTTCCCTAACCTACAGCCATCTCTGCCCCACAGTCAGCTGTGTCTGCTCTTTGCTCCCTCTTCTCCACCCAGAAGTGTATGCGACTAAAACAATTGAGTATCTCTCTCCATGTGATGGCATTCGTAGCTGCTCTTCTTTTTCTCCCTTTAACATTATCTTTTTAAGATTTTTCACATTATAAAACTAATATGTTTATTGTTAACAAGTGAAAAAAACAACAAAGTGTAAAGAAAATGTTAATGATCTTTTCTCCCATTCTCAATAATCCCCCAAAGGTAACTAAAACTAACAGCCTAGAATGACCCCTTCTACCATCTTCTCAGGGCTCTTATAAAAATAGACTAGCAATCATTTATTCATTGAATAAAAAAACTTTTGAGCAAATACTATGTTTCAGACACTGTTATAGGCACAGGTGCTACAGCAATAAATAAGATAGGCAAAAATCCCCTCATCAAACATATATGTCAGTGTGAAGAGAAAGAGAGTAAACAGCATATATGCCTTTTTTTTTTTTTTAACAAAGATAGAATCACATTGCACACTATTCTGTAACTGACTTTTTTCCCTGTAAAGATTATATCACAAACATCATTCCAAGTTAGTATGTATGGACCTAATTCAGTCTTTTTAGTACATGTATACTATTTTATAATATACATGTACCATAATAGTTATGGAGTGACTGACTAAATCTTCTTCAGTTGATAGATGTCCAGATTGATTTCAGGATTTTGCATTTAGAAGCAATGCTATAACAAACATTCCTATATATAAGGAACTCATACAACTCAATAGCAAATAAATAAATAAATAATCCAATTTAAAAATGGGCAAAGGACTTGAATAGACATTTTTCCTGAGAAGACATACATACAAATGAAAAGGTACTCAGCATCACTAATCATCACAGAAATGCAAATCAACACCACAATGAGATATCACCTCACACCTGTTAGGGTGGCTATTATCAAAAAGACAAGAGAGAATAATTGTTGGCAAGGCTGTGAAACTCTTGTACACTGTTGGTAGGAATGTAAATTGGTGAGCCATTATGGAAAACTGTACAGAGATTCTTTAAAAACTTAAAAATAGAACTACCATATGATCCAGCAATCCTACTTCATGATATATATCCAAAGGAAATGAGACTAGTATCTTGAAGAGATAGCTACACTCTCATGATCATTGTAGCATTATTCACAATAGTCAAGATATGTAAATAAACTAAGTGTCAATTAATAGATAAACAAAGAAAATGTCATATATATGTATATATCTATCTCACATATCTCTCTATATATATATATAGTCATCCCTCTATATCTGTGGGGGATTGTTCCAGGAGCCCCCTTGGGTACCAAAATCTACAAATGCTCAAGTCCCTTATATAAAATGGCATAGCATTTGCATATAACCTGTGCACATCCTCCCACATACTTTAAATCGTCTCTAGATTACTTATAATGCCTAATACAATGTAAATGATATGTAAATAGTCGTTATACTATATTTTTTAGGGAATAGTTACAAGAAACAAAAAGCCTATACATGTTCAGTATAGATACAACCATCTATTTTGTTTTTTAATATTTTTGATCTGTGTTTGGTTGAATCCCCTAATGCAGAACCCACAGATGTGAAGGGCCAACTTTACATCAAAATGGAATATTATTCAGCCATTAAAAAAGAAATCTTGCCATTTGTGACAATATGGATAAACCTAGAAGGCCTTATGCTAAGTGAAATAAGTCAGACAAATACTGTATGATTCTCACTTATATGTGGAATCTTAAAAAGTCAAACTCATAGAGCTAGAGAGTAGAACAGTGGTTTCCAGGGGCTGGGGTTTGGGAATGGGGAGACTTAGGTCAAAGGGTACAATCTTTCAGTTATTAGACGAATAAGTTCTGGGGCTCTAATGTGCATCATGGTGACCATAGTTATTAATACTATATTGTATATTTGAAATTTGCTAAAAGAGTAGATTTCAAGTGTTCTCACTACACCCCACACACACACGTAACTGTATGAGATGATGCATGTATTAACTGACTTGATTGTGGTAATCATTCCACAATATATATGTATATCATCATTCCACAATACATTTGTATATCAAATCATCACATTGTATACTCTAAATATATAAATTTTATTTGTCAATAAAACCTGAATAAAACTGGAAAAAATTCCTCTGTGCATATGTGTATATGTGTGTACATACATGCATATACATATATCTGTAATGTTTAGTAATTTTATTTTTTAATGTAAGATTTTAAAATATGGAATTTAAGGATTTCTATGTTTAAAATTTAATAGCTACTTCAAAAAGATTGTAACAATTGACAACCTGAAAAGCAGCATACCAATTTCTCCACATCCTCATTAGTCTCAGATAATATTACTGTTTTTTTTTTTTTTTTTTTTTGAGACAGAGTCCCCCTTTGTTGTCCAGGCTAGAGTGAGTGCCATGGCGTCAGCCTAGCTCACAGCAACCTCAAACTCCTGGGCTCGAGCGATCCTTCTGCCTCAGCCTCCCGAGTAGCTGGGACTACAGGCATGCGCCACCATGCCCGGCTAATTTTTTTTTTTTTTTTTATATATATATCAATTGGCCAATTAATTTCTTTCTATTTATAGTAGAGACGGGGTCTCGCTCTTGCTCAGGCTGGTTTTGAACTCCTGACCTTGAGCAATCCGCCCGCCTCGGCCTCCCAAGAGCTAGGATTACAGGCGTGAGCCACAGCGCCCGGCCAAATATTACTGTTTTTAATTTTTGCCAAGCTGAAGGATAAAAATGATAAATCCCATTGTTTTAATTAGCATTTTTAGACAGCTGAGGTTATAAATCTATCTTACAGTTTTTGGCCATTACATTTTCCCTTTGAATTCTCTATATCATTCTTTTATTTTATATTGGGTTGTCATTTTGGGATCAATTTTTAGGAGCTCTTTGCATATGAGGGATAGAGAATTTTTATAGGCATATTGCATATACTTATTGCTGTCTTGGTTTTACTTTAGTTCTATGAAGTCATATTAATTTATAATTTTATTATAACTTTTGGATTTTTACCTTGTTTCAAAAAATGTCCCTACACCAAGGTTATATAAATATTTTCTCCCCTCCCTTTATACATATATATATTCTTAAATTTAACAGCTTTGTTGAGATATGATTTATATATTATAAAGTTTACCCATTTACAATTCAATATTTAGTATATTTATGAAGTTGTAAAATCATCATCATTACCTAACTTTTGAACATTTTTAGCATTCTAAAAAGAAAACTCATACTCCTTAACAATTACTTCCCATCACCTCCCCTAATTGCAGCATGCATCCACTAATCTGTTTGCTGTCTATATGGATTTGCCTATTCTGGGCATATAAATGGGATCACACAATATGTGATCTTTTATGATTGGCTTCTTTCAAGCGGTGTTTTTAAGGTCATTCGTGGTGTAGCCCGTATCAGTATTTCATTCGTTTTTATGGTTGAATAATATTCCATTGTATGAATATATCACATTTTGTTGATGCATTCATGAGTTGGTGAACATTTAGGTTGTTCCAACTTTTTGGTCATTGTGAATAATGCTGTTATGAACATTCATGGACAAGTTTTCATGTGGATACATGCTTCACTTCTCTTGAGTATATACTTAGGTGGAATTGCTGGGTTATATGGGTTGTAAACTCTATGTTTAACACTTTGAGGAACTTGCAAATTTTTTTTCCCTTTTATTTCATCATATTATGGAGGTACAAATATTGCTAGGGTTACAAACATTGCCCCTGCCCCCCTTTCCTCCCCTCATGTGTCCAATCCCCGGGTGGTGTGCACCACACACGCAATGTAAGCATACACCCCTTTCCTCCTCCCCCCTCCCACCTGCCCACCACCTGATAAAAAATTTTGGTTTTTTTTTTTCGTCTTTCCTTTGCTTGTTTTTTTTTTTTTTTTTTCCTTGCCTCTCCCTAAGAAGGGTTAGAGTTATGCCCTTCCCCTCTGAAATGCTCGCCACATCCCTAAGATTGGGTCCCCACCCCCAATCCCTGGTAAGCATTGCCACCATTTGAAAACCATAGTTTTAATTAATCAGTACCAATTTGATGGTGAGTAGATGTGGGGCCCATTTTCCATGTCTTGTGTTGCCTCACTTTGGATAACAGGCTTAAGCTTAATCCAGGATAGCATAAACGGTGCTAGCTCACAGTCATTTCTTAGGATTGAGTAATATTCCATTGTGAGCATATACCACATTTTAATTATCCACTCATGAATTGACGGGCACTTGGGTTGTTTCCATGACTGTGCAATAGTGAATTGTGCTGCCATAAACATTCGGGTGCAGATGTCTTTATAATAGAATGTCTTATGGGCTCTTTTGGGTAGATGCCCAACAATGCTATTGCAGGGTCGAATGGTATTTCTATTTCTAGCTGTTTGAGATATCTCCAAATTCTTTTTCACAAAGGTTGCACTAATTTGCAGTCCCACCAGCTGTGTAATAGTGTTCCTGTCTCTCCATATCCTCACCAGCATTTGTTGTTTTGGGATTTCTTTATATAGGCCATTCTTACTGGGGTTAGGTGGTATCTCATTGTGGTTTTGATTTGCATTTCTCTAAAACTTGCAAAATTTTTTTCCAAGGGGCTGAACAATTTTGCATTTCTACCATCAATGTATGAGGATTCCAATTGTTCTACATTTTTGACAATCCTTGTTATGATCTGTAGCCCTGTTAGTGAATGTGAGATAGAATCTCATTGTGGTTTTGATTTGTATTTACCTAATGATCAATGAGGTTGAGCATCTTTTCATGTGCTTATTAGACATTTGTATATCTTCCTTGGAGAAATATGTATTTCAGGTCTTTTTTCCATTTTTAATTGAATTATCACTTTTTAATTATTGCATTGTAGGAGTTCTTTATATATTCTATAGACGTGTCACTTATTAGATGTTTGACTTGCAAATATTCTCTCCCATTCTGTGGGACATCTTTTCCCTTTGGGGATGGTATTATTTGTAGCACAAAAGGTTTTCATTTTGAGGAAATCCAATTTATCTGCTTTTTTTCTTTTGTTGCTTATACTTTTAGTGTTGTGTCTAAGAAGCCATTACCTAACCCAAAGTCATAAGGATTTATTCCTATGTTTTTTTTAAGAGTTTTATAGGTTTAGTTCTTACATTTAGGTCTCTGATCCTTTTTGAGTTAATTTTTGTGTATGGTATGTGGTAGGGGCTTAACTTTATTTTTTTATACGTGTATTTCCAGTTGTCTCAGCACCATTAGTTGAAAAGACTATTCTTCCCCCATTTAATTGTCTTGGCACTGTTGTCAAAAATAAATTCATCATAATATAAGGATTTGTTTCTACACTTTAAATTGTATTCCATTTGTCTGTGTCTATCATAATGTGAGTACCACACTGTCCTAATTATTGTAGCTTTCTAGTAACTTTTAAAACTGATAAATATGAGTTGAATTTTGTACTTCTTTTTAAATATTGTTTTGGCTATTCTGGGTCCCTTGGATTTCCATATGAATTTTAGAATCAGTTTGTCAACTTACAAAATGCTAGCTAGGATTTTGATAGGGATTATATTGAATCTGTAGATCAATTTGAAGGCTATTGCCATCTTAATCATATTAAGCCTTCCAGTCTATGAACATGGAATATTGTTCTATTTGTTTAGATCTTCTTTAATTTCTTTCAACAATGTTTCATACCTTTCATTGTACAAGTCTTTGACTTACTTTGTTAAATTTATTTCTAAGTATTTTATTCTTTTTGGTGCTATAGTAAGTAGAATTGTTTTAATTACATTTTTGGATTCTTGATTTCTAGTGTGTGGAAATACAATTGATTTTTATTGATCTTGTATAATCTTGATGAACTTTTTAATTGGTTCTAATAGTTTTTTAGTGGATTCCTTGGTATTTCTGTATACTAGATCATATTATCTGTTAATAGAGATATTCTTCATTTCCAATCTAAATATCTTTTATTTATTTTTCTTGCCTAATTTTCCTAGTTAGAACCTCTAGTACAGTGTTGCATAAAACTGGTAAAAGCAGATATCCTTGTCTTGTTTCTGATCTTAAGGGAGATGCATTGACTCTTTCACCATTAAGTATGATGTTAGCTGTGTATTTTTTGTAGATGCCCCTTATCAAGTGTAGGAAGTTCTCTTTTATGCCTAAAAGTTTCTTTTGGTTGAGTTTTTTTTTTTATCATTAGAGTATTGGATTTTGTCAAATACGTTTTTTTCTGTATCTATTGAGATGATCATGTGATTTTTGTCCTGTGTTAATATGGTGTATTTTATTGGTTGATTTCAGATATTTGGCAAACCTTGTATTCTTAGACTAAAACCTATTTGCTCATGGTGTATAATCCTTTTTATATGTTGCTGAATGCTGTTTGCCAGTATTTTGTTGAGACTTTGCATCTATATTCATAAGAGATACTGGTCTGTAGTTTTCTTATGATCCTTGTCTGGTTTTTGAATCAGGGTAATACTAGATTCTAATGTCAACCACCTCTTCTGTTTTTTGGAAGAGTTTGTGAATGATTGGTATTAGTGCTTCTTCAAATGTTTGGTGGAATTCACCAGTGAAGCCATCTATCTGGCTCTGGGCTTTTTTTGTGAGTTGTTCAATTACTTATTTAATCTTTTTACCTGTTACAAGCATGTTCAGTTTTTCTATTTCTTCCTAGTCAGTTTTGGTAGTTCGTGTCATTCTAGCAATTTGTCCTTTTCATGTGGGTTATCTAATTCATTGGTGTACAATTGTTTATAGTGTTCCCATGTAATCTTTTTTTTTTACTTCTGTAAGGTTAGTAGTGATGTCCCCTCTTTCATTCTTGATTTTACAAATTTGAGTCTTCTTTTTTTTCTTGGAGGGTCTAAAGATATGTTAATTTTGTTGGTTTTTTTCAAAGAATCAATTTTGGGTTTTACTGATTTTCTCTATTATTTTCTATTCTCTATTTCATTTCTTTCTGCTCTATTCTTTATTATTTTCTTTTTTTTCTGTTTGTGTTGGGTGTAGTCTCTTTTCTTAGTTTTCTTAAAATGGAAGATTATGTTATCGATTTGAGATCTTCCTTCCTTTATAATATAAGCATCTATAGCTATAAATTTTCCTCTAAGCATTGCATTAGTTGCATGCCATATTTTTTTTTTTTTTTTGGTTGTCAAGGTCTGCTTTACTAGGTTTTTCGTTGGTTTTATAAGCATACAGAAACAAGTAGGGAGGGGCAGCGGGGGGTTAGGGTTGATCAGTCAAGAACAGTTTAGGGTCAATCAATTACAAACTTCCTAGGGTTTATCAATCACAGATAGCCTCTGGCGCCAAGCCTGAAGTGTTTATTAGTCACAAACAACCTCTGGCGCCAAGCCTGGAATATCTTGCGATCTTTCTCAGAACGGCCATTAAGCACCTTCTGACAGCTCAGGGTATTTATGGGTTAAGACCCTCAAAGGCCTCGGTTCCTAACATCTCCCCCCCTCTTTATTAATATGAGGGAGATTTGTATAAGTTGGTGAAGAGCCTGTCTTAGGCTACGCGATGATGCCATATGTTTTAATATGTTATCTTTCCATTTTCATTCATCTTAAAGTATTTTCTAATCTCTTTTATTTCTTCTTTGACCTGTTGATTATTTAAGATTCTGTTAATTTCCTCACATCTGTGAATTTCCTGAATTATTTTCCATTATTAATATTTAATGTATTTATTTTGTGGTCAGAAAAGATACTTGTATGATTTTAATCCTTTTAAATCCATTAATACTTATATTATGGCTTAGCATAAGGTCTACTATGGACAATGTTCCACATGTGCTTTAGAACAATGTAATTCTGTTGTTAGGGAGAGTTTTTTATACATATGTTTTAGATCTACTTGGTTTAGATACTGTTTAAGTCTTCTATGTCCTTGTTGATTTTCCACCTAGTTGTTCTATCCATTAGTGAAAGTAGAGTGTTGAAGTCCCAACTATTGTTGTTGAATTGTCTATGTCTGTCTTCAATTCTGTCAGTTCTTACTTCACATATAGCTTTGGGCTCTGTTGTGAGATTCATATATGTTTATGATTGCTTTATTTTCTTGGTTAACTAGCTGTTTTATCATTATAAAATGTCCTTCTTTATCTCTTTTTATCTTAAAGTCCATTTTGTCTACTATTAGTATGACCACTCTAGTTCTCATGGTTGCTGTTTGCATGGTATTTTTTTTGTCCCTTGCCCTTTAAACTCTTAATATCTTTAAAACTAAAGTCTGTCTCCTGTAGACAACATACAATTGGATTTTTTTTTTTTTTTTTTTGAGACAGAATCTCACTTTGTTGCCCAGGCTAGAGTGAGTGCCATGGTGGCAGCCTAGCTCACAGCAACCTCAAACTCCTGGGCTCAAGCGATCCTGCTGCCTCAGCCTCCCGAGTAGCTGGGACTACAAGCATGTGCCACCATGCCTGGCTAATTTTTTCTATATGTATTAGTTGGCCAATTAATTTCTTTCTATTTATAGTAGAGACGGGGTCTCGCTCTTGCTCAGGCTGGTTTCGAACTCCTGACCTCGAGCAATCCACCCGCCTCGGCCTCCCAGAGTGCTAGGATTACAGGCATGAGCCACCACGCCCAGCCTACAATTGGATCTTGTGTTTTGTTTTTATCCAGTCTCACAATCTCTGCCTTTTGATTTGATTATTTAATCCATTTGCATATGATGTTATTGTTGATATGCTTGGATTTATATCTACCATTTAAAGTAAATCGCCTGACTGCATCTCTACTACCCATGAAAGGTGATTTGAAACCACGTGTAGAAGCATGGAGCAATCATGACCATTTTGTTCCTCTGTTCCTCCTTTATTTCAAACATTTGTTTTTGTAAATGGTCTGAAATAGAGGTTTACATCTAGATGGTTAGCTATGGTAGTACTATTTTTAAAAATTGTCCTTTTCTACCAAATTATAATACCTTCTGTTGTCATATATATTGTTTCCATATATGTCATACATATATATTTCCAATATGTCATATATATTGTTTCCATTGGATATACTTATGAAATTTCTATTATGTTCTACTCATTATCTATCTTCTCTTGTGTTAATACCTATTGTTATATTTTAATAACTTAATGGTAAATTTCAGAATCTGGTTTGGCAAGTCCTTCTTTACTTTCCTTCTTTTCAAGTATTTGTTCATGTGAATCTTGACATTCAAAAGAAAACACGATTTATAATCCTTTTAAAACTTCACAAAATGCTCACATGCACACATATATATGTATCCTTATATATTCATTTACTCTCTGGTAACATGGTATGTGAGAATTTAAGTAATTCATTTAAAGTGAAAACTGGTAAATGATAACATACATTAAAATGAAACAGAATAAGATGATTTGTGTAATTTTCACCTAATGTTTTTTTTTTAATATAGGGTTAATATTATAGAAATCAGTGCCATCAGGATGTTAAAAGAAAAAATAATTTCACGAAAAACTGACCTCATTCATGCTTTTCAACTTCAAGACAGAAAATCAGGTAATAAAAGTATGTAACATCTACCATTTCTTAACATAGCAGGTTACATACAGATCAGTTTTCTTTCTTTTATTTTTTTGTGATTCCTTAGGGTTTCAATTCTCCATTTTTGCTAGAAAGGAATGATAGAGATAAAAATAAAATATAATCCGTTATTTGCTCAATAAAAGGCATATTTTTTCTTTTAAGCAAGCTTCTTTCAACTTAAAAAACCAACAAGAACTCTGAATTAGACTTCTATTCTGGTAATATGTTAGACTAGACACTCTGGAGGCCCTTCCGGTTAATAAACAGCTAGATTCTAGAGGATGAAGATGAAGGTAAATCTCCTGGCTGTATCTCCACTACCCATGAAAGTTGATTGAAAACCACATGTGGAAGCATAGAGTAACAAGCAAGCACAAAAGGCTAGATAAAATGGACAAATTCCTAAAATATATATGTGTACACATACACCCTTGCAAAAAAGACACAAAAACAAATAGAAAAACTGAACACTGTTATAACTATTAAAGAAATTAGATATGAAATTTTGAAACTTTTCACAAAAAAATCTGTGTTCAGACTTATTTATTATTGTTTATTGTTCATGTTCAGCTTTATTAGCCATTACAATATATATTTGACAAATAAATAAGACCAATCTTACACAAACTATTCCAGAGAATAGAAACAAAGAGAATGCATCCTAGATTATTTTAGTAGGTCAGCATAACCCTGATATCAAAATCTAAAAAGAACATTATGGAAAAGGAAAATTAAAGACTAACCTCATTCATAAATTTAGATGGAAAAAAAATCCTAAGTGAAATATTAGCAAAAGGTAAATATATTAGTATATCACAACCAAATTTGGTTTATGCTAGGAATTCTAGATTGTTTTTAACATTTGAAAATTAATTCACCACTTTAACACAATTAAAGAAGTCATATAATTATTCTATCAAAATAAAAAAAATTGATGTATTTCACCTTGGTTTCATGGTTTTAAAAAGCATTTAGAAAACTAAGTAGTGAACTTCCTTAATCTCATAAAGGATATCTACCAGAGCTTATAGCAAATAACATATTTAATGGAGAAATGTTAAAAGCTTTCTTTCTAAGATTGGGAATGAGAGGAGGATGTTGTGGCAGGCTGAATAATCTTCTGCTCCCTACTATGTTCACATCCTGATTCCCAGAATCTGTGAATGTTACCTTATGTGGCAAAGAGTCTTTGATTAATTCAAGAGTCTGTGATTAATTTAAGGATCTTTACCTGGGGAGATTATCCAGTATTAGCCAAGTGGGCCTGATGTCACAATGGTCCTTATAAGAGGGACATAGGAAGAGACAGAGTCAGAGGAGAAGGTGATATAATGATGGAAACAGATATTGAAATGACATACTTTGAAGGTAGAAGAAGAGGCCACGAGCCAAGGAATGCAAATGACCACTAAAAGCTGGAAAAGGCAAGGAAGCAGATCCTCCCCTCAGAGCCTCCAGAAGGAACCAGTCCTGCTGATAAGTTACTTTTGCCCTATAAAACTTTATTTCAGACTTCAGAAGGTGATAGTAATTGCAAGGAATCACAAGGGGCCCTTTTGGATGTTGGGAACATTCTCTTTCTTGACCTTGGTGGTGGTTACACAAGAGTTCCCCGTGTCATAATTCATTAAGCTCTGTATTTGTTTTGCGAACTTTTCCTGTATGTGTAAAATGCCAATTACAAAAAATAATGATGTGGAAGGGGTGGGGAACCTGCCTTGGGGCCACATGTGGCCTTCTGGATCCTTGACTGCAACCTTTTGACTGAATCCAAATTTTACAGAACAAATCATTTTATTAAAAGGGGTGCTGTGGAGAAAAATGAAGCTTTTCTTGCCTCCTTTACTACTTAAAAAAGAACAATCTTGAAATCAGAAGGCTGCAGGTTCCCCACTGCTTGCTCAAAACCCTTAAAAATCTGCATACCCTTTGATCTTGCAATTCCCCTTCTAGGAATGATCCTAAGGAAATAATGGAATAGTTTCACAGCCATTAAAATGATGATGTAGATCTATGTTTATTAACATAGATGGATATCCATGATTTATGGCGAATAAAAACACAGGTTAGAGTAAATGTTTGTGTGTGTGTGTGTGTTTTGCCATATGCAATACATGTATATAAAACATATGCTAGAGTATAATGTATATTTGGTTTTAAGAGAAAATATTTACATTTATGCATATATATGTTTATATACATAGGCCAAGAATAGTAACTTTTTTCTGTTTATTCAAAATCATTTAAAGTGAGCATATCTTTAATCAGAAAAAATAAAGATGTCTGTATTTTGAAAAATTGCATATAATATTGGAGGAAAAAGGATATTAGCTGGGAAAATGACAGGCGAGTAATATACCAAAATATTTTTTAAAAAGTAAAATCTTTCATCCTTTGTATTCTTTTACATTTTCAAATCTTCTGTAATAAGCATACCTTACTTTGTTAATCAGAAAAAGGAAAAAAATCTAATACCCAAAGTCTGATCTCCTACCGATGACAATCGGGTCAAATATGTGGAACATTAAAGACTTTCTTTGGTTAGTCCTGCCTCAGGTCTAAGGAACCTGGTTGGACAAATCACAAACGAAAACAGCAAGCCCCCAGGCCTGGAAACCCCAGGCTGCCCACTGGCTCTGTTAAGGAGGTTGTGTTTTTTTCAAATCAAATCGTAAATAAATTATATGGGCTTTGTTGTTATTGTCAGGAAAACTTTCTCTGGGCCGGTGGGCTTTTTGCATGGAGAGTGTTTTGGGGCTAAACTTACCGTGGAGAAGCCTGAGTTCCTTTCTTGTAAACACCGACAAAGATGGAAATGTCAGCTACATGTCCAGCTTCCAGGATATCCGCATTGAAAAACCTGTGAAAGAGGCAAGTGAAACACAGCCCCAGCTAAAACCTGGCTGGGCCAAAACAGCCTTCGTGGACAACCTATAAGATAACTTAGTCTTTTGAAAAGTTGGGAGAGGAATCATCTAAATCATCTAATGGTTGAGAGCAACAGGCTTAGGAAAGGCAGGAGGGGAATCTCCAAGGTACATTGTGATCTGTTCCAGAAATTTCCATGTTCTCAGGAGAAGCAAAAAGAGAAAAACAAAAAGCTTCAGCAAGGGAATGCACAGCAAATACGGGATATTTTTTTAAGTGCTGTCCAGCAGAAAAGCAGACGTGCCATCCATTCTTTCATACAACATACCATTTAGAATTTTTAACATAGTCCTTGTTAAACTGTGAGTGTACAGACTTGCTGACATGACCCAAAATATGGCCTAAAGATTTTTAAAATGTAGGATCCCTTATTAATTAAATGTAAATACCCTGGGGAGAGTTATCAGATCCCAGTACTTATTAGTTAACAACTCATTAGCAGTTATCACATTGAGCTGAAAACGAGCTAATTGGAGCTAGGACTTGGGAGATCCTTTGCAGGGAAAATGAGAAGTTAAGAGCAGCAAGAAGGGAAGTAAAGTGCAGGTTGGAGACTAAAATATCCCCAGGAAGGAGGCTTTTGACTTTACTTCAGAGGCAGTTTACCATGGTGACTAAGATCAGAGCTTTTGGCATCAGACAGCTGAGATTTAAATTCCACCTTACCAGCCATGTGACCCTTGGGGAAGTTCTTTTATCTCTGTTTTCTAATCTGTAAAATGGACACAACAATAGTTCCATTCCTATTCCTTAGGGTAGCTGTAGAGGACTAAATGAAATAATCCACATAAAGCTCTCTGTAAATGGTGGCTGTTGTTACTTACTGCTGCCTTACTCACATTGGCCCTGTCCTCTGAGAACACAGACTGCAGAAGCCTTAGAACACAAGAGCAAGGTCTTTTCTCTAATTGAAGAGGGTTGGGCTGTGAAGGGAAGGATTGCCGTCTCGTATTTATATCTAAGTAAGATAATTTGAATTGGTGATGATGTTTTAGTTGCTAAAATTGATCTGTGTCATTAATTCTATATGTTTTAACATTTAGAAAACCTTTATTTTAGGCTCAATCTACTATAATTGAAACTCTATATAGATACCGATCTGACTTGGAAATCCTTTTTAATGTCATCGACGCTGACCACTCAGGTAAATGAATTTTGATTAGTAGTTCGGTAGTAGTAGAAAGCAACAGCTAGTCTGTTTCTCTGAAATCAGAACTCTGTTTTTATCCAAACTTGGTGAAACTCGAGGGGAAAAAATAAATTCATGTTTAATACTATTATCATTTTAGTTTGGCCATAAATTCTGTGTTTAAGAACATAGGGTCCTACAGATGCTGATGTAGTCATTGGTCAAACTAGACTGGCTCCTTTTATAAATCACCAGCACAGATGAAAAGATAATTCACTTTCTTTTTTAATATCTTAGCTACTCCTGGCAATAAAAATCATTCCTAGAGTTCTTATTCTGTTTTTTTGGACTGAGGGTTATGAAAACTTATTTTCTACTTAACCTTGATGCACAATTACTTATTTTCAAACTTAAAACAAAATAATCAAATAATCCCCTACTACAGAGATCTTTAAACATCAAAAAATCAATAATCAACACACAAAAGTAAATTGTTTCCTTTAAGAAAGGCAGTGCCATTGTTTGCCATTGTCTTATTGACTCCTAAGGTGTCTTCTCCTTCTGCTTTGCTGTTGCTCTCCTCTTTGCCCTCCCTCCATGTCCCTTCGATTTTAGATCTTGTAATTTTTATACCACATTTAGTTCCACAGTTCTCAGTCTTCTCCCCCTTTCTTCACTGTTTATTCATTCTGGCTTTAGCATAATTTCAGGATTACTTGGTAGTTGAAAGTGATGTATTGTTTCTTACATTTATGACCTTACTCTTCCATTTCCTTCAGTATCTTGATGGTCAGGCATGTTTACTAGCTTCTCATTGGGACTATTTAATCAGTATGACTTCACCACCCCTGCCTTAGGTGGGTCTTAAAATGAACACTCACAACCTTCTCCTATATTCTTTTAGGATTGATCTCCAGGGAAGAATTTTGTGCCACATGGAAACTGTTTAGTTCTCACTACAGTGTTCCTATTGATGATTCCCAAGTTGATGAGCTCGTCAAAACGATGGACTTGAACAAAGATGGCAGCATCGACTTTAATGAGTTCTTAAAGGCTTTCTATGTAGTGCATAAATATGAGATAATGAAATCAGACCAACACCTTCCTGAAGACAAAGGACAGTTGTAACAGCTAGGCCCAAATCACAGACACAATCCTTTCCAATACTCTTGAAATTCATAATCAGTAGCAGAGAAAAGTAGACCTTAGTCCACACCACAAGCAAATGCATGGTATGGGTTTTGGAAGTTCATAGCAAGCTGTTATTCATAAGACTAGGTTAAATGTCAACTGATAGGACTTGGCTCCAGAATTAGGACCCACACATTACCACTGACAAACTGGGCTTGAGGGTAGTGTTGGTCTCTAGGATGCCACCTAACAAGGAGACCAGAGCTGTTTGAAAACACACTAAAAGGAGGAACCAAGAGAGCATCAGAGAAAACTATTAAGTGCAACATCTGTGAGTGACTGAGGGATGGGTGGAGGAATACCAAATTATTAATGGAATAAAACGCATTCATTTTTAAACTGTAATCTTCTTGGCAGATTTTATAAACCAGTGATCCTCAGTTGGAGAAACCACCCTTCAGGGACAAGGGCCATGTTAGATACTTGGGGGAAGCTATGGGAATGTATTGTTTTAAAAAAACCATGCTTTTTCATGTCTGTTGGAGATACAAAGTGAATGTATGTGGATTGAGCCCTACAATTAATCTGGTTTGACACCCTCATTGGTAAGATGGGGCCCTGATTATGAAAATTATAGGAAGCCATTGTTTTGCACTAAGCTCCTGTACTAGGCCCCAATAGACCCGACTAAAATTCAAAATGAAGTCACTCATGCTGAGGTTCCATATCACCAAACTGAAACTGAGTTGTTACCTGATTTTCTGAGAAATCAGTAGAGCAAGATAACAGCCTAATTTCTCAAACAGGCTAGTTTCAATTGACATGATAATGAAGTTCCCTGTACTTTAATCCTTAGGAGAAAAAGTAACCTGATGTTAACCAATCAATTATTTCTCTATTGTTCTGTTTCCTTGTTTCCGCCTTACAAGGAAAGTAACTTTGAAATGACCAATCTGCTTTTGTTCTTTGTTTCTGTTTTCTTCAGCTTTTCTCTGTGTAGAAAACCAACATCCTCTGCTCAGCTCATTGGAACACTTACTCTATTTGTATGGAATGAAGTGTTACCCGATTCTAGAATCACAGATACAGCCAACTAATATATTTAAATTAAAATTTGCCTTTTGACAGGTCTGCCAACCAACAAAGGGACCCTAAGGAGATTGCTGGTAATTCCCGAGACCCCTTGAGGAATGCAGAAGTGCTTCTGACTCCTTTGAGGTTCTCTGTCTTCCTCATGGAGCCCTGAGTGTTGTAAGTTCCTCTTGGGCCAGACTCTGCTTCTTTTTCATTGAGCACCCCCAAACTTTTTGGCTTCCCAAGTTAAAAGTGTGAGAGTATTTGACCTTGCTGTGTGAGAGTATTTGACCTTGCAGTATTGCTATGGTTTAAATATGGTTTATCCCCTATGAAACTCATGTTGAAATTTGATTGCCATTATGACCATGTTGGGAGGTAGGGTCTTTAAAACGTGATTACGTAGTTAAGAGGGATTAATACCTTTCTCACAGGAATGAATTAGCTATTGAAGGAGTTTGCCTGCCTTTCTCTTGAATGCAAGCGCCCTCTATCCCCTTCTTTCTACCTTTCACCATGCTATATAGCAGCATGAGGCCCTTACTAGATGCAGCTGCCCAGTGTTGGACTTCCCAGCCTCCAGAACCATGAACTAAATAAACCTACATTCTTTATAAATCACCCAGTCTTAAGTACTCTGTTATAGCACCACAAAACAGACTAAGACAAATGCCAAGGGTTAGTTTGTATCATGAGGGGACACGTGGCTTTTGGGTTTGCAGTGACTAATGAGTCATTGGCAAGGGCTGCAGTTTTAAAGGTAACTGACAGTGGTTGCTATAAGTGGTTATTACTGCAAGGGTGAAGTCTGGCTTTTGGAATTCACAACTATCTATCCTCTTTTATTTTATTTTTTTTTTTTGAGACAGAGTCTCACTCTGTTGCCTGGGCTAGAGTGCCGTGGCATCAGCCTAGCTCACAGCAACCTCAAACTCCTGGGCTCAAGCAATCCTTCTGCCTCAGCCTCCTGAGTAGCTGGGACTATAGGCACGCGCCACCATGCCCAGCTAATTTTTTCTATATGTTTTTAGTTGGCCAATTATTTTTTTTCTATTTTTAGTAGAGACGGGATCTCGCTCTTGCTCAGGCTGGTTTTGAACTCCTGACCTTGAGTGATCCACCCGCCACAGCCTCCCAGAGTGCTAGGATTACAGGCGTGAGCCACCGTGCCTGGCCTATCTATCCTCTTCATTTCTTCTCTTCTTTCTTGCTGAGTTAAGGAAAATCATTCGCTGATTGGTTAAGGGGATTTCAGAGCTAAAGCTGTCTTGGCTCTGAGAGATCTAAGATCCAACATAAAAATGGGATCCTTAATTTTTAAAAATCTGAGTACTCTTGGTTTTAGGGTACCCTTCATTAGTGATCCTTTCCCTCCCATGGACAGCTATTGTTTTTGTGTCCTGAGAACTTTGGTCAACCAACCAAAAGGCTGGTTGGGAATTGCTGGGAATATGGCTGAACAGAAATGGAGGTTGCACCCCATATTTGTGACTAGTATAACAACTGTTATGTCTAAACCTTCCTTTCTTGTGGCTGCCTTTGGGAGTATCTCTGGATTTTGCTCTAGAAAGATTAATGAGAAACATAATGGGACTCCTAAATTCTAAGGCATGTGAAGATAGTCCGCTTTCAGGGACTTCAGCAGCTATGTGTTCAAATATCACGCACATTTTTAAAGCAGTGAGCAAATTACGCCAAGGACAATTTGGAGCTCCAGTGGCCTTAATGAGGACTGTTTGAACTTCCCAAGCTTGTTTTTATTGTTAGAACTAAATTAGAAGACCACAGCTATAGGGTTAAAGTCTAAATGGGATACATATTTTTGATTGGCATGTAGAGGCTTCTAAGTTCTCTGTCTTTCTTTCTATCCTCCCCTGCCTACTTAGAATCTGGTGACTTTTTTGCTTGGTTACCTGCCCAGGATTCCAAAATAGCCTTTTTAAAAGATTCATTGTGAAGAGCTAATGAAAAGCTAGAAATGCAAGATATCCCCCACACCAAAGACAGTAAAACTGATGTAATTCCTACTGCTCATCTCTATCCTCCTTTGCCTAAATATTCAGTCTACTAACGCTCTGTCTGAATTGCCTTTCTTCTCAGAACAAAACAAAAACGGATGAAAAAGGCAGAATGTTGTTATACTAACAATGATATCAGTGACCTCATGAGCCACACCTGGTCCACTTAGGGGCCAGGCAAACCCTGAAAGATTGCAAATGACCCTATGAAAGACATTTCCAAAGGGTTTCAGCTCTGTGGTAACCAGCAACTTAGAATGACTCTGGTTCTGCCCCAGGGCACCCCATAAGCAACCACTAAAACAACAGTTTCTTCTTATTTTTTTAATTTAATTTTATTTTTTATTTCAGCATATTATGGGGGTACAAATGTTAAGGTTACATATATTGCCCATGCTCTCCCCCTCTCGTTGAGTCAGAGCTTCAACCGTGACCATCCCCCAGACCAGGCATCTTCAAACTACGGCCCGAGGGCCACATGCAGGTGTTTTTGCCTATTTGTAGTTTTACGTCAAAATAAGATATGTGCAGTGTGCATAGGAATTTGTTCATAGTTTTTTTTAAACTGTAATCCAGCCCTCCAACAGTCTGAGGGACAGTGAATTGGCCCCCTGTTTAAAAAGTTTGAGGACCCCTGCCCCACACAGTGCACATCTCACTCATTGTGTTTGTATAAACCCATCCCCGCCCTTCCCACCTGCCAGATGCCCAATAAATGTTATTCCTTTATGTCCACTTAGGTGTTGATCCATTAATACCAATTTGCTGGTGAGTACATGTGGTGCTTGTTTTTCCATTCTTGGGATACTTCACTTAGTAGTATGGGTTCTAGCTCTCTCTAGGAAAATACAAGAGGTGCTAGATCACCATTGTTTCTTAGAGCTGAATAGTACTCCGTGGTATACATATACCACATTTTATTAATCCACTCATGGATTGATGGGCACTTGGGTTGTTTCCACAACTTTGCAATTGTGAATTGTGCTGCTATAAACATTCGAGTGCAGGTATCTTTTTTGTAGACTGTCATTTGATCTTTGGGATAGATGCCCAGTAGTGGGATTGCTTGATTAAATGGTAGATCTACTTGTATCACTTTAAGGTATTTCCATATTGCTTTCCACAGAGGTTGAACTAGTTTGCAGAATGGGAGAAAAATTTTGCAAGCTATACATCTGATAAGGGGCTGATAATTAGAATCTATTTAGAACTCAGGAAAACCAGCAAGGAAAAATCAAACAACCCTATCAAAAAGTGGACAAAGGACATGAACAGAAATTTTTCAAAAGAAGACAGAATGATGGCCAACAAACATATGAAAAAATGCTCAACATGTCTAATCATCAGGGAAATGCAAATCAAAACTGCAATGAGATATCACTTATCTCCAGTAAGAATCGCCTTTATCAAAAAGTCCCCAAACAATAAAAGTTGGCATTGGCGTGGATATGGAGAGATAAGAACACTCCTACACTGCTGGTGGGACTACAAACTAGTTCTTCTTCTTTTCTTCTTTTTTTGAGACAGAGTCTCACACTGTTGCCCTGGGTGGAGTGCAGTGGCGTTATCATAGCTCACTACAATCTCAAATTCCTGGGCTGAAGCGATCCTCTTGCCTCAGCCTCCCAAGTAGCTGAGACTACAGGCGCACACCACAGCACCCAGCTAATTTTTCTATTTTTTAGCAGAGATGTGGTCTTGTTCTTGCTCATACTAGTCTCAAACTCCTGAGCTCCAGTGATCCTCCAGCCTCAGTCTCCTAGAGTGCTAGGATTACAGGCGTGAGCCACCATGCCTGGCCTAATATAGCAGTTTCTAAAATATTGTTGTCATTTGTGCAAATGACTAGTACATTGGAAAAGGGACTATCCCCAAATATTTCAAGGGAAGCCCCTAAAAATGGGCTGCCCACCCTCTATAATCTCCATACTAACCACCAGGACTGACAGGCTTCTAAAGAACACTCTGTTAAATTTCCACCAGTTATTTTTTGCCCATTTGTTTAAAAAGCTCCGCCCTGAAGTGAGTGATCTAATTAAGGAACAAGATTTTGAAACTCTTTGCAAATGAAATTTATGTCTATAAAGGAAATCACCTTTTGTAAGAGTGTCTCCCTCTCTGCACCTAAACCGCTAGAAACTTTTATAATAGGAAAGACTTGGGCATAAAAGTTTGCATAACAAACCTTATCTTTATTTAAGGTGCTTTTCCTGGCCATCTTGTCTTAACTGGGCCTTTACCCAAGCAAATAATAGTGTTTAGATCTACGTTATGTGCCTTTGAAATATACATTTTCTACCTTGTTTCACTTTAGAATCATTCCTTTGGAAGTGCAAATTTAGGGTTCCCTGGCTAATGATTGCTCAGGGCGATGGAACCAGTGTTTGAAGGATTGATGGTCTGAAGGGGAGAGAATGAAACATTTCAAAACTAGAAAATGAAGAATCTTAATGAAAGCTGTAAGATCTGCTGCTGTGTGTCAGTGTGTGTTATGTGTATGTGATACTTTTCTACCAAAGTATATGAAAGAGCTTTATTTCACTGGCATAAAAGAACAAAAGTGTTTAAATAACATCATTAATTATAAAGCAAGCATATTTTCACCCTGTATCAAGCTTGTTATCTCCTAGATGCAGAAGACCATAAAGCTATAAATACAACCAAAGAGCAAAATATGCAATCAAAATAAATTGCTTGATTCATATCAGTTGTGGGAGGAAAAAAAACAGA